GTTGGCAGGAGATAAACTGGTACAGTCAGAAAAAACCAAACCTTACTCAGAAAATAAAAACACTAAACTCAGATATATAATCTCCTCTTGTTCACTATAGCAACAATTGCTGATATAGGAAAACAACTGAAGTGTACACTAAAGATTAAAGAAAATGTGACTTCCTCCAAGCATTCATTCAAAAAAGAGCTGATACCTTCCCTCTCAAATTAAGTGAAGGTCAAATGTTTTCGAAATCCTATTATGAAGTTAGCAAACCTGATGCCAAAAACAAACAAGAACACAAACTTACACACTGCATATATACACACAGTCAAAATCTAACACAAAATTCAGAGTAACCTGTTAGCATACCGAAGTCACCACCTGGGATTTATTCCAGGGATTCAAGAAGGGTTCCATGGGACTTGCTCTTCAAGCCTGTATTCACCCTTGAACACGAATCTCGCTTGTCTCTCTAAGTCTTTGCTTTTTTTTTTCCACTTTGGAGAAGCCCATGTTCTCTCTTGAACACATACTTAGTCTCTTTCTCTGCTCTCACATATTTCTAAGTAAGTTTTGATGAAAATTATCTTGCTTAACCAAGAAACACACACAAAAAACTCCGGAGTTCAATATGCTCAAATCCATCAATGTAACATATCACATCAACAAAATGATGGGAAAAAAACTAGATGATTATCTCAAATTGTATTAATCTCTACAAAGAAAAAGCACTTGATCAATTTGATACAGATTATCAAAAAAAGGGGACATACTTAAACACAAAAGGGCATATATGTTAAGTAGACTAATACCATAGGCTTTTCTTTCCTCTAAGGTCAGGAACAAGGTAAGGATATTCATTTCTTACCACTATTATCTAACTAATATTGAAAGTTCTGGCCAGAGCAACTAGACAATAAAAGGCTTCCAAACTGGAAAGAAGGAAAACTGCCATTACAGGGCAACTGTACATGTAACTGTACATGAAATCCAAAAGGCCCCAACAACAAAACACCATTAATAAATAAGTCAAAGTTGCAAGCTACAACAAACAACATTCTGTTGTATTTCTTTATGCAATGAATTAGCAGACGGGAAAAAAAAACAATGCAATGTATGATCACAGCAAAAAGAGAAAAACATTAAGAAATAAATTCAACTAAGAAAACAAATATTTAGACTGAAAATGATCAATATACTTGGATATGGCTCAAGTGGCAAAGCACATGCGTGAGGAGGATGACTGGTACCACACGGTGCCGTGAGCACTGTTGGGTAGCCCTGGTCGTCCCCAAGCACCAACACACTCAACCACACAACCAGAAGCATCTCTAGGGACTGGAAACATTAGTACAGGGGTTTAGGCACTTGCCTTGCATGCAACAGTTCCTGGCTTGAATTCCCAGCATCACTAATGGTCATTCCTGAGAAGAGAGTCAGGAATAACCCCTGAGCACTTTTCAGGGGTATCTCATGGCCCAAACTCATCCCATCACCACCACTCCCCCCCCCACACACACAAAAAAAACTCCTCTATAAAACACCATTGGAAGAAACTGAAGATAAAATGAAATGGGAAAACCATTCTATGATCATGACCTGGAAGAATAAACTTTTTTCCCCCCAGTTTTGGAGTCACACCTGGCTGTGCTCAGGGCAAGGCACAGGGACCATATGTGTGTCAGGGATCAAACACGGGTCATTTGTGTTCAAGGCAAATGCTTTACCACTGTACCATCACTCTGATGCCTCGAAGAATAAATATTATTTAAACAGTCATTTTTCAGTAGACAAGTCCAATACAATTCCAATTAATATCTCAATGGCATTTTCTAGAGAAGCAGAATAAGAAAGTCCTAAAAAAGTTTTATGGAAACAAAAGATCAATGGATATACAAAATAATCCCATGGGGGCGGGGGGACAAAGTCTGCAGTATCTTGTTCTAAATTCAATCTAGACCACAAAGCTATAATAACCGAAAGAGTGTATGGTACATTCAGCCAAGGTCACAGAACGTCCAGCCAAGGTCATATCTGCCCCCTCCCAAAAACAAAACAAATCCAGGAAAAAATGTAATCAAAAAGACAGTGAGAGTTCACCCCGCACCAGCAAAAATCATCTACAATCCAAAAGTCCAGAAACATGACCTTGCAATTCCTCTCCTGGCATGTATCTCAGGTAAAACAAAATATAATTTGACTGTTCTGGTAATTAAACTTTGGAAGAGTTAAGACATGGGCTGTGGGGAGATGACTGAGTAGAAGGTATTTATTCATTTCCCTCCTGGCCTGCAAACAAACAAACAAAAACACCACATAACTTGAGAAAGCACGTATAAACCTATGTTCACTACACACCCACAACAGCCAAGGTACAACCAAAGTTCCCAACAAGACAGAGAAAGTACAGCAGATAGGGCACTTGCTGTGCACACAGCCGACCCAGGTTCGATCCTCAGTATCCTGTACAATCCCCAGAGCACCGGTGGAAGCCCGAGTGCAGAGCCAGGAGTAAGCTCTGAGCACCACCAGATGTGCCCCTCCCAAGGTGCAACAACAGATTACTGGATAAAGAAACTGACTACCAGCCATGAGAAAAGATAAAAATAGTGTGCAGTTTCTTGCAACCTGGATGCAACTGGAGGGTGACATGGTAAGTGCAGTATGACTAGTATCTGATGATTTAACTTATATATAGAATATGAAGACATAAAGCAAATGATTAGATAAGAACGAATGGCAAACAAACCCGAAGATAAGGTCAATGGAACTGTGATCTAAGGACATGAAGGGTGGAAGGACTCCTGGGATAATGGTGGCGGGATCATCACACTTCGGTAGCAGCACTGCAAGTACGAAGTGATACTATCGCTCTCTCTCTCTCTCTCTCTCTATATATATATATATGTATATATACATTACAGTATTAAAAACCACATAAAGGGACAACTAATTTTTATTCTATTTTTTACAAAAATAAAGTAAGGGAACAACAATTACTGTAAGGGCTGAACATTTCTCTCTAAATGCCAGGGGAAAAGAAAAATCCTAGTATAGCCTAAAACTGTTACAAAAAGCACAAATGCTAGGACTAATATTAAGCTAAAGAGTTTCAGACCATGTAAGTAGATCTTGCAACAAACCCAAAGTCTGTTATACAACTGAAATAATATTCCTTATAATGGGATGGCTTATATTACAAAAGAGAGAAAGAGAGCCATACCAAGCTTAGAAAAAGTGGGCCAAGCACAGACTGTTTTGTGTAAGTTTAAATAAAACATCCTACTTCATTCAAGGTTAGAATGGTCAATAAGGAAATCCTATAAATACTGTCATTACAGGTGCAGTGGGCAGATCAGAACTTGTGAAGTATAAACAAATATAAAAGCGAATGAAATAAGATCAGACAATTACAAGGCCAGTGGGATTAAAAAAATAATGCTGAAACTATTCAAATAAATTAATTGTCAACAAAACCACAGTCCTCAGTAAAAGTAAAATTTTTAAAAATCATTTAACGTGACAAATGGCCCTCCAAACTAACTTAAATACCTAGTTCAAAGAGTTGGAGACCTGCTTAGCATGCTGGGGCCCTGAACTTGATCCTTGGCACTGCACAGTACTATGAGCACCACTAGGTACTGTACCCCAAAGTGAGGTTTTTGAAGCCTCAGAAGGTTAAAGGTGTATGCTCCAAGATGCTTAGTATGGGTGTTTGCAGTCTTTGTACTGTGCAGAGAGCATCTCTTCAGAGGGATGAGCAGTGATAAACTGAAAGTTTACATAGCAGCATCCTGGCCTAAAGGTGTCAAAACCCAAACAGGTTGATAAGAGGTCCCCAGGAGAAAGCAATCCAACAGGAAGTTGCAGAGTCTAGGCAGGAACAATGCTAGAGAACACAGCCAAGTACACGAAATTGCAAGTAAGCAAACTGCAGAAGCAATCACAGAGGGGACCAATTCAGTGTGGAGAGTTAGAACTCAGCTGAATTAAGGCAGTATTCTTCAGGCCAGCACAGAAGGCCCAAGTTTAAATGAGTGTGCCGTTTAAAAGTGCTAATGCAGACGCAGAGCCAACATGGACTGTCACTTACGGTGAGAAAGGCTTAAGTGTGGGGAAGGGGTGGCAGTGGGAGAGAGGGTACATCCAGGAGACTTGGAAAGGTAAGAAAAATGTACTCCAATCTGTGGAACTCTCTCCAGCCCTTCATTTTCCCATGTTATTAGAGAATTATTAATTGTATAATGGCCATGACTATCTAGAAAAGAATCTGCCCATCTGTGTGACATCAAAGCTAATATATAAGAAAATACTTGAAATTCTAAATTTGTATTAGCATGAGTCTATATTACTTGAAAAATTTCAAGCAAAATCTTCAAATACTCTAAGTTTTCGCAAAATACATTGTTAAGCCACATGCATACTTCTACTTTTTTTTTCTTCACTTTTAAAGATTTTACTTTATGGCTATATAAACCATGGGACGAAGCAAAAAATCTGCCTCCCACCCTCCCTCTTTGTTTTGGGTTGGGGGGACACACCCAGTATTGCTCAGGCATTAATCCTAGCTCTGCACTCAGGAATTACTTCTGGCAGTGCTCAGGAGACCATATGGGATATAACACACTGCTTCCTCACCCTACCTGGCTAATAAGCCTCCGATTGAAAACCAGTTATCTTATTTTTCCTGTTGCTTTTCTGCATTTTTTTGTTCCTGCTCTGTTTCTTTATATCTTGCATATGAGAAAGATGATTCTGTGTCTGTCCCTCCTAACTTCACTTCATATGATACTCTCCAAGTTTTTCCTTGTAACAGAAAATTGCATGATTTCATCTTTTTTTTTTTTTAAAAAAAAAGTAGTGTATCCTAATGTGTATGTGCAGTATAGTTTCTTTTTCCAGTTATCTGTTTTTGAACACCTGGGTTGTTTCAAGATTTTGGCTATTGTGAATACTGCTGCAATAAAAAGATAAATACAGATGTCTCTTCTGAATAGATTACTCTAAACACTCACCTGTAGAAGATAGGAACTGCCTGGATCTAATAAACTCACAGCTTCATTCTGCACCGTGTTCTGTTGTGTAATTGCATCTTCTCGTTTTCTCTCTTTCTGCCCCATTTCATCATCTTCATATTCATCTAAGCACTGAAAGGAAAGACAGTTTCTATTTTATTTTCACGTAGCAACGTAATTCGATTGTATGTGAGGATACAATTGATAGCAAAATTAACTTGTGTACTCAGTTATTTTCGGCAATAATGTACGTTTAAATCCTGGAAACTAAATCATCTACTTAAAACCTGAGCCTTCATATTCACACACTGCAAACACAATAAAGGTAGGGTTTACTGTTTATTGTCCATTCAACAAGATTATGTCTAGTACCTTAAATTTCTGGAAGTTAGCAAAAGATACAATCCATATATGGTATTTATATTCTAGTATGAAAGACAAAATACAATCATTTAAAAATAATTATGTGTATAACTTAGTAATAGAATATTTTCATCTGCAAATAAGTTTTCAAGAGTCTATAGAAGACCTTGTAAAGAATGGGTATTATCTGAAATTGCAGATAAAGAAAAAAAAACCTCAGCGTAGAAAAAAACACATAAAAAGTTTTATATAAGCTCAAGGTTCGATAGAAAGTATGAGAAAAACTACAGCATAACATCTAAACTTTCCATTTCATTACATCCCATCTATTGTGGGATGGATTGATAAACTTTGTTTTAAACCTCCACTCTTAAAAATTTTATTGGCAGCATTGATGATTTACAGTACTGTTAATGATAGGGTTTCATAAAGGAGAGAGGGAGAGAGGTGAGAGGGAAAGAGGTAGGGAGAGAGTCAGGGAGGGAGGAGGGAAAGGAGGGAGAGCTAGAGGCAGCCTGGAGGCAAGCTGGGGAAGGGGCCTGATGGCAGGACATAGGCAATTGTGAAGGGATAGGTGTTGGAACACCATTTGACTGAAACCCAGTCATATACAACTTTGTAATGGTGTATCTAACTGTAATTCAACTGTAATTCAATTTTTAAAAATAGGGTTTCATGCACACAAAGTTCCAATAACACACCTTCACTAGAGTGTCTGCTTCCCTTCACCATTATTTTTATGCCCCATATGCACAGATGTCACACACACACAGACCTCCCATTCCCTTGCCAGGATAAAGCTCAGTTACGTAGACCAGTTCCCATTTTCTGTTGTCTCTTACCAGCAGAAATGTTTAAAATAAAACGTTTAAAATTTTAAAATAAGGACATTTTAACCAACAAAATGACCTTAAATCCTGTGAGACCTTAGTACTTATCCAACACAAAAATACTACTCAAAAGATACATGCACACCTATGTTCACTGCAGCAGTATTTATGATGACCGGAATCGGAGAACATCCCAAGTACCCAACAACAAATGAGTAGATAAAAGAAATGCGGCATATATACACGATGAAATACTAAGTTTTAAGAAAAGAGGAAATCTTGTCCTCTGCTACAACAGGATTGGAACTAGAGGTCATGCTAAGTTAAATAAGCCAAGAAGAAAGACAAACACGGAATGACCTCATGCACATGTAGTTTGTAAAGCAAGGGAACAATGTCCAATGGAAACAAATTCTTAGACTCCGATCACAGAATTATGTTGGGGAAAGGAAAGGAGGGAGACAGTAGATGAAAAGGGTTATGGTGGAGGGATCCTGACACTTTGGCTATAGGTGTGGTGTGTTAGCCAGTGCTACTGTAACAAATAAAATTCAAAAACAATAAATTACAAGCTCAGGGCTAGAGAGAGTACAGGAGGTCATTGTGTATATACGCCACATATCTTTTATGTGGTTGACCTGGTTCAATCCCTGGACCCCACAAGATCCTCCAAGCCCATCAGGAGTGATCCCTGAGCACAAAGTCAGGAGTAAGCCCGGTGTGGCCCAAACAACATCAAAAACAGAAGATCTATGAGAGAAAAATGTCTTTGAAGGCATTCTCGAAATACTAAGACACTGATCAAAGCACAGTAAAGCAAAAAAAGACAGTAATACTTACAACAAAAAGTCTGTGTTTTCAGAGAATTGGGGGAGAGGAGGCTATCCCCTCCAATGTACTGTGTGTACAAGTATCTTATTGTCCTCATCACATCACCCTGTGGGAACTGTGGCCTAGGAATCAGCACTCAGTTCAAGAAAATGATACTGTCAGTACCATTATTTTTGTAATAAGCTGCCGTTAAATCTTATCAGGAGACAAGTTTCTGCCCAGGTCCATGAAACTACAGCAGGGCAGTGGGTTTGTTTACAAACAGTAAGATCTCATATACTCACAGTTCTTGACAGAGATAAGGACTGGAAAAAACGTATCATCTAATCACAAAGAAACATAATAAACAGCCTGAGAAACTTTGAACTTTTCACTGCAAACTATCAAAAAATGTTACAGTGATACAACTCCTTGGAATATAAATAAAGTATGATAACATCTGACTTGGGGGACTCAATATGTACTCAGAAATTCAGTTTTTGAGTCACACCGAATTGTGCCAGGGGTGGAATGAGGGGCGTGGGGTGGGGAGCATGTTGTGCTGAGGTTTTAATACTCAAAAATTCAGAGTCCAGTGAAAATAAACAAGAACCCAAAGTGTTCTTGCTAAATAACACTGTAGTCAATTCAATCCTATGAAACGATATATCCTAGGCAAAATACAATAAATCTAGTAAAGAGTGCAACAGTTTAAGAAATTAGTCCTGATTTTAAAAATTAATCTCTCTGAGGACAAAGAGATAGCTCAAATCCAGGCACATTCTCTGCATGCTGGAGACCTGAGATCTATCCAGTTGTGTACCTCATAGTCCCCTGAGGCACCACCAGGAGGGAAACTCAAGAACTAAACCAGCAACAGCCCAGCCCCTGAGCATGACAGGGTGAGGCAAGAGGGCGTGTGGGTGTAGGTGTGTGGGTGTGTAGGGCTGTGTGGGGGTGTTGTGGGGGGCAGAGCAAACAAAATCTTTTGAAAAATAAAAAAAGCACTTTCACAAACTAAAAGGCATCATCAACAAAAATTAAATATGAAATAAGACTTAAGCCACTGATGTCCAGGAGCCAGTTATATAGTACAGTGGGGAGGGCACTTGCCTTGCACACAGCTGACCTGGTTCAATCCCCAGCACACCTTATGGTCTCCAGAACTCACCTGGACTGATTCCTGAGTTCAGAACCAGGAGTAAGCTGTGAGCACAGCCAGGTGTGGCCCCCATAAAAAATAAAGGCACTGATGTCTTTATACAAACAGGGCTGTGAAAATCACCAAGGAAGTGCTAACTGATAAAATGGACACAAGATTTTTCAGCATTAGATAAAATTCCATCACTTTAGATGATAATCTTCCTAACTGCAATGAAATAAAAAAATGTATGCAAAAGCTGTAAAATTTTACTGAGGGATATAAATTAAAAGCAATTATTTAATAGACTGGGCCAGAGATACTGTGCAACAGGCTGGAGTGGAGGCCCAGATTCAAACCTCAGCACAACATGCTCCCCACCCCACACCCCCCATTCCATCCCTGGCACAACTGGGTGTGATTCAAAAACGAAACCAAAACAAAAAAAGAAAAAAATCTATTCTTAAAGGTCAGGAATATGGTTCAGTGGTAGAGCAAGGCAACCGCATGTGTGAGGCCCTGGATTCAAATCCCAGCACTGCAAAAAGTGAAAATAGACTTGAATTTTAAAATATCATCCATTCATTTGTCTAACATTTGCTTATTTTTTTCTTCGTTTATTTTATTTCATTAGTAAAGAGAGTCTACACTTATTAAAGAAATGAGAGAGAAGGTTAGTGTTGGGAAGATGGATCCCAGAAAATGGAAACAAAAATAAAGTAAACATCTCAGTGGTCAAGAAGTTGAATAAAATGTATTTGCAAAAGTATTATGATAGAACATTCACTCTAGTTTACATGAAATCTACAACAACAACTTTGCATGACACATCTTCAAACAAAAAGTGAATCAATTAAAGTAGTTCACAGTAGGGGCTGAGGAGCAAGTGTGATGCAGAGGGAGTGCATGGCGAGAAGGGGGTGCAGTCCCATCTCTACTACTCCACACTGTTAAAGTAATCGTACCTCATTCACCAGAAACTATACTGCAAAAATCCCTGACCATAAAGTAGCCTAAAGCTAATTTTTTTTTAAATCACAAAGCAGTATCTAAAGAAAGTGGAATGTAGGTAGCCCTCAACTCCCTGAGCACTAGGATGTTACTTTATTTTTGCTTCCATTATCTGAGATCTAGGCTTCTCAACACTAACCTTCTCTTCTCTCATTTCTTCAACAGATGTAGGCTCTCTTACTAATAAGCTCAAATAAAATAATGTTTTGACAAATGAATGGATGAATTACTAAGATGAGACAAATCAGAAAAAAATGGAGTACAGCACAAGTTAAAATTGCAGAAGTGCTTTTCCATGGCAACACTAATACCGACTGTCCGCACAACCTATTCATCACACTGCATCTCTGTGAAGAAGGTGTGCATTTATATTCCAGGCAGCTTTTGGAATAGAGATTACTGATGAATCACAACTTGCCTTCGAATTCATTAGCAACCAATACAGTTCTTTTAGCAACAAGAATCCCAGAAATTATCTAAAGCTATCTATGTAACAGGAACGCATGGATACACACACACACACACGTGCGTGCGCACAAATACAATTTGGTGAACACAAGTTTAAAATAATTTCAATTAAATAAGATTAAAATGAAACAAAACAAAAAATAAGAACTGAGACCACTGGCAGAGGGAGACAAAGATATTTTCTACATCTATTCCTTGGGAAAATTAATAATCCCCAAAGAGGCTCAGAGATGGTTGAGAGGAAGAGCTCATGCCGTCTGCAATGGTGGAGATGGTGAGGCTGAGGGTTTGACCCAGGGTAAAGGCCTCTCTGCCTGCATCTACCCTTCGTACCTCTGTTGTTTGGGGTCATCAGTACCTCACTGAAGTGTAGGGTCTCTGGAGCACTCCTATCAAATGTAAGTCAGCACCAGCTAAAGTGTGTGAACATCACAATGAGGTTCACAATTCAACAAAGCACTGAAACTAAAATGTGCAAGAACTACAAATAAAAAGAAGCCTAAATACTT